ACTCTTTCCTCTGCTTTCACCATCAAGTTAGTTTAGAGTAGAGCGATTTTTTGTTTTTCTAGTGCACTATTTTGAAGCTCCTCCATTAAGTCTCATTTTACTCTTCCTCTTTCTAGAGTAACTTCTTGCAGTATCGCCAATCTCTCTCCTTGTTCATAAGGAACCTTTCTTCTAACCAACTTCATAACTTCATTTGCCTTTTCAATCTCATGTGTACCTTACTCAAAATACGAGATCTTGGATTATCAAGGCAGGCAACTGGACATATAAACTTGAGACATGATTTGTCTTCATCACTCCTTAAGGGTGAGCTAAGCATCTACAGCATGTTTTTAATTAATCCAATAACTAAAAACCCTGGATCCAGCTCTCTACAACCTTCAATGTTTCCAAGCTGCTGGAAGGCCAGCAAGCTGCCTGTTAACTAGAGCTCTGTGCTGTGGTTCCCTTTAAGCAACATGGACCCAGCTGAACCCAAATGGGTCCAAACCTCCAATGCTCTGACCACTCTGGAAGTCTGATTATAATCAGAGGGTATTTTGATACCTGCTGCATTGAGCCAAAAGCACAGTGGCTACACAACACTGAACATAGCTCCCTGTGTCCAGCAATAACCTGAAGAGAAAATGGCCCCCAAATCTTATTTACTTACCATACAGTAAAACACCATGGCACCATCTCCTGTGTTTACAGTGGAAATGCAATGCAGTAAATTTTGTAGATTTTATCTTTAAAACAAAAAAAGAATCTTGTATCATGGGGCACTGTAGTCTTGGGGAGAAATCATTAGTTAAGGCAGTCAAGTGGCCAAAGGGCCTAGATTATTATTATTATTATTATTATTATTGTAAGAGTAGGTCTCAGTCATAGGGAAAAAGTTCACAGTAAGGTGGGAGGAAACCAGGGAAGGATGATTAGTTGATACAGTCCTGAAAAATGTATCCCCAGGGTGCAAACCATCCTTGCATTATTGACTGAACTGAGTTTCCTGAAATATTTGTTCTAAGACAAACAGGACTTGGTTCTAAAGCCTCAAAGGAGCAAAATACTTAAGCATTTA